TGGCAGTAGACAAAAAAGACCCTGTCCCTGCCCCCACGGAGCCAGAAGCTTAGAGACAGTGTTGGAGGGCACTTAACGGAGGGACTTCCTGCAGGAGGACTAGCTGGCAGCAGGGGCCAGGGGGCGGAGTCAGGGCTCCCTGAACCAGCTCACCAAGCCGTCAGCCAGCACAGGGGCGTCACTGTCACAAGGGGGGGGGGGTCACAGCGCTGTCCTCTAGTGGATTTGGTGTCCCTGGGCACTGTGGGTGTGGGGGAGGAAGGGGGAGGAAGACACAGAGGAGGATGTGTTCAGCTACAGGTGGGCTCCAGGGGTTGCCTGGCAGTCACTGGTTTGACCAGGAAGAGGCTCAGGTGTGCAGGACAGGTGCTGCACATACATGGGGCAGGCACCTCAGGCACAGATGGTGCCCCAAGTGTGTGCTCAGGAGCTCCAGGGGTACATGGCAGGTATTACAGGCATGTAGCCAGGTGCAACAGGTGTGGGGTGCAGATGCCTCAGGTGTGCAGCAGGTGCTTCAGGTGCAGGACTGGTTCTGGCCCCATTGGAGGCTTGAACCTGAGGGGGATTCAGGATTGTGGGTCTCACCTGGATGCCTAGGCCAAGCCCCCAGATATGGAGCCTGAAAATTCAGAGGGCATCAGAGAAACCCAAGGTCCACTGGGATAAGACATGTCCTGTTCCGTGGGTTTACTTGGGTTTTCAAAACCCAAAATGTGAGTTTCCACAAAGGGCCCTAATAGCCTCTGAGCACCTGCGAAAACCAGTGAACACACTGGGCAGCTGGCTGCCTCTTCAGGGAGCATGGACAGACCCAGTGGTCTATTCCTCCCCAGAGGGCACAATACAGGTGGCCAGCGGGGGTGTCGTGACCGGCTGCACTGACCACGGAGCCACACAGGTTCTGAAGGGTGGTTCACGTACAGCACAGGCCCTTCCTGATGACGGCACAGCCTGGTGGCCCCGTCGTTTCACAGCAGTATAAGCCCCACTGCAGTTGCCCACTGAGTGGTGCAGCTCCTCTGTGGACTTCCAGGTGAGCCCTCAAGTCCCCCTTGCACCTTCTGTGCCTGGATAAGCTGGCTTTGGTCTTCAAGACCTGGTCTAGGACCCCACCGTGGTGAGGTCTCTGGGCTTGCAGGACCCAGCACCTATCACCCAAATGCCATAACCATAGTCCCTTTCCCTCTAGACGGTGGCAGTGACCACTGGAAGAAACTCGCTTTATATCACGGCACAGCATACCTGCCCATGGGCACGTGGACATCCCAAATCACTGTGCAGCTTGCTCATGAACCCACCCAGTCACGCTAGAGCCTGCCCATGATCCTATGGGGCGCACCTGCACAAGGCTGCCTCAGTACAGCATGCCTGCAGAGGTGCAAACCCAACCAGAAGCTTGACAGCCCAGCGCCTCCTACACGGGAGGGACCCAGGTTTTAAATTCAGGAATTGCTGGTTGCAGCCACTACATAAGCCCATGACCCTAAGTGGGCTGCTGTCTGGAAACTGCCCGAAGCTGCAGGCTCCCAGCACAGGGATGAAGGGCCCTCCAGAAGCAAAGGATAGTGGAGGGGCAGGGTAGTGGCTGCAGAGGCTGACACTCAGTACTCAGCAGCCTGGTCCAGGAGATGAGAGCCAGACACCATGGGGAAGCTGTCCCACCTTCATTCCTGGCTGATCTTCTGTCCATACAATTAGCCAGGTCTCCACATTACAAAGATGGAGGCACATTCACTTGGACACAGTGGCTGCCCAAGTCAGGGCCACTTGGCCAGGACAAGGCAGGTTCCAATGTGGCCCTGAGCCAGAGGCTTACTTCATGTCCACAGCTCCAGCTCAGAGGGGCCGTCTCCTATGGGCAGTGCCCTGGCCCCAGGAACCCTACCACAGACTCACCCCTGGTAGTGTCCCAGCTGTCCAGAGGCTGTGCACACTGGGCAGCTAGCTGCCTCTTCAGGGAGCATGGATAGACCCAGCCAAAGCCTCAGCAAACCCTGTTCTCTAGTGAGCTGCCAGGGTGAGCTGGGAGTGCCAGGGGGTGGCTCCTTGGGAGTCATGCACAGCAGGCCCTTTCTTCCCTCCCCACGGTGCCTGGGTCCTCTGACACGAAGAGGTCCTGACCCTATCTCCCACATAGAAGGTTTATCATCTCATGCTGAGGAGTCCCAGGAGTCTGCCATTGTGACCCAGGTGAGACACTTTCCTGTTCATGTTTAGGAAGGAACCATTTTGCTGAGCACAGAAGGGACCCTGAAGTGCGGCTGCCCACAACAACCGGGTGCCGCAGCTCCAGGCAGGCATGCCACACACAAATGCAGCCATGAAGGGGCCTGCCAGTCTTCTGGGGTACCTAGAATTGGAAGCACAGTCGGCTCCTATTGCTTCAGAGCCATGCTAAAATCTACACCACACAGCGACTCCAGTGTGTGGAATTCTCTGCTGGGGGTACAGCTGTGGTTCCATGCCACAAACCTTCCTCCAGTCCTGCATCAGCCTCTGCTCGGCCCGGCCCATCCTCTGTGTCCTGACCCTAATCCTGGGGGCGGCCAGGCTACAGACCCTAGGCTTCTTGCCTCCCTGCTCAGCCTGGTCTAGCACTGATGGGGACACCCTGGGTGGGGCCAACAGGGTTTGAGGTCTGGGTCTGGGGGACACAAAGTTCAGACCACTGCAGCTGGTCTTCCCTAGGAGGCCCCAGGCAGGGCACCTAGTCCTCTAGTGCAGCCAGTTTTTACCAACCTTTTACACCAGCAGCAATTAAGACAAGGAGCTCTCAGGGAGGCGGCTGCAGGAGCTTGAGTCACTTCCCCTTCTGGTGCCCATGTGGCTTTGCCTAACCTCAGCACTGCCCTCCTTCCCTCTGACTTAAGACCATGCAACCTCCATCAAGCAAAGGCCAATGCCTCACCTCCCCCTTCTTGTGGCTCCCCAGGGTCAGTGTCAGTCCCCATGCCTGGTCCTCTTGCTGAGACTCTCCCTATCGTGAGGGGCATGATCTCAGGCCCAATGCACCCACGGTCCCAAGGACAGCACTGCTACCACCTTGCATTTCTTTTTCTTTCTTTCTTCTTCTTTTTTTTTTTTTTTAAGAATCTAGCCTTTATTTTCATTTGTTTTGTTTTTTTAGGGATTGAACCAGGGATTGAACTCAGGAGCACTCAACCACTGAACCACATCCCCAGCCCTATTTTGTATTTTATTTTAGAGACAGGGTCTCACTGAATTGCTTAGCACCTTGTCCTTGCTGAGGCTGGCTTTGAACTCACAATCCTCCTGTCTCAGCCTCCAGAGCCACTGTATTCTTATTTGTTTTTATGTGATGCTGAGGACCAAACCCAGGGCCTCACCTGTGCTAGGCAATTGCTCAACCACAGAGCTACAACCCCAGCCCCACCACCTTGCATTTCTGCAATGTTTCTGGGCACTGAATATTTGCAAAAAGGAGGGCCCATGGGGCTGGGGCTGTGGCTCAGTGGTAGAGCACTCACCTAGCACATGCAAGGCACTGGATTTGATCCTTAGCACCTCATAAAAATCAATACATAAAATAAAGGTTAAAAAAAAGGGTTAGGCAAATTTGTGCTGGTCCAGGCGAATTTGTGCTGGCAGAGGCAGTAGGAAGCAAGTTTCTGGCTGCAAGAGAGGCACAGGAAGAAGTCTCAGGCAACCAAGCTCAATTCTGAACATCACGAACCATCTGCAACTCCTTATCTCTGACCCCTTATCTGGAACCCAGGGTGCATTCTGGTAGCTAGAATGCTAGTTTCTACTAAGCCATGAATCTACTCCTAAAATGCCAAATCCAAGAGACCATTAGATCCTTGAACATAAATTCTCAGTCTGTAAGTGTGAAAATAAGGTTGCAGTTTTACTTATCTGACTTAAGCCTTTCAATTGTAGAACAGGCTTTGCAAATAAGGTGCAATTTGGTGGAGGACATAAAATCTGAAGCGATGCTCAAATGTGTTTGGCTTTGTTATAATAATTTGCAAAATGCTTGTATTTGACCTTAATTTTCATTTATTTTTATTTTTGGCCATATGGCGATCTAATCCAGGGCTTCGTGCATGCTTGACAAGTACTCTGCTGCTGAGGTATGGTACCAGCCATGATCCTAAAAGAAAAGGACTTTCATGGAAGTGATGCTTACAGGCATGCTCATTAACTGTGGCTTACTCAGTAGGTTCAATGCACTTAGCATAACCTTGCATGAGGCCAGCCTACCCAGGAGGTGGCATGATGCTGATCACAGTAAATCTTACAAACTATGGGGCTCTCGGGGTGTTTTGCAACTTCGTGTGAGTGGCTCTATGGCCCATCAGCCACCTACAGAGATTTATCCTCTGTTCCATGCAGGGGCACAGGACTTCCTGGTTCACAGGGCAGGAAAAGGTGTGGGCATGCCTGGAGTCCACCCTGTGGGAACTGGATTGGGTGCCACCATGTGCTCCCTCCACTCAAGCCAACAGATGGACTAAAGGTTCCAGCTCTCCACTGAACTGCGAGGGATAGCTGCTCCCTGGGAAAATAGGCCTGCCTTCCCTGCCTGGAGGTGTTTCAGTGGGTAAGCACTGCAGTCCCCTAAAGCGCTGGCCACCTTCTGCTATTTATTTTTAAGTGTGGTCACTCCTGAGGGCACAAGAGAGGCCATTGCTTAGTGGGCACACTCAGTTCTCCAGCCATGGGTGTGGGAGAACAAAATGTGCCACCCTAAAATACACTTCTAGGCCTACATTGAGATGACCATTCGGAGAAACTGGAGACACAAGTATAAGTCTGAAAAATCTGCTGTTTTGCAAAAGGAACGCAAGTAGGTCACTCATGGGAGTAGTCAGAGGCCCCAGCCCGGTCTGGGCCCGTCCAGTCGCCCACCGCTCCTCCCACACTTGGAGGTGCTCAGGACACCCGGCTCTCCAGGGCCTTCTCCACCAGGGGGACAGCCACCGCGCGCTGCGCGTCCCCGGGCCACCCCCAGGGCCCAGGCCCTCAATTTCGCTGGGCAGGAACCCGGCCACCGGGCAGGTTGGAGCTGCGCGCCTGGAGGGTGCACCACCTCCTCCGGCAGCGCCAGGCGTCGCCGGCCGGGCTCAGCGCAGACCCGCAGGTCCCGCAGCACTTGGAGGCCCCTTCCTGTAAGTGTGCACGCCTCCACCTCAGAAGGGCTCTGGTTTGGATTTCCAGCACCAGCTTCCGGCGCCGCGCGGGACCCGCACCAGGTGCTTCACCGCGTGGCACTAGCTGCAGACTTCCGTTCGCGGTTACCTCCCTCAGCTGAGGGCGCAGGGCTCCGGCCCACCAGGAGGCCAGAACCGCCTGCAGGCCGCACCTGCTGCGGGGCCCTGCCACCCAGCCGCCCGCCACCGCCCTGCCCAGCCGAGGCGCGCCCGAAGCCCCGCCCACCCGGGCCGCCAGCGCCCCGCAAGATCGACACGTCTCTCCGCCAATCGTTCGCGGCCCAGCCTCGGCTCCGCCTGCCCGAGCAGCTCGCGCACGCGCCGGCGGCCAGAGCGCGATGGCAGCCTAGAGGCGTGGGCGGTGACGGTGGCGGCGAGGTGGCCATGCAGCGCCCGGGGGACCCGGCCGGGCCAGGCCAGCTGCCCCTGGTGGTAGGTGCCAGCCGGGGCGCGGGGATGGCGGCCCCCACTACCCACTCTGCCTCCCCTCCGCGGTCTCACAGGCGGGCGTGTCGTGGCGCGGGGTCTGTCCCCTTAGGCTGCTCGCGCCCCAGCGGCCCTTCCTTTCCTGGGAACCTCCTGTGCGAGGGACTGCCCCTGGCCCGGTGGCGACCGCTCTTGTGCGCGGCGCATCTACCAGAGCTCCCCAGAGCTTCTGCCCCGCGCACCCACTAGACGACCCTGCCCTGCACACTGCCCTGAGCTCCAGGCCCCGGCTCCTGCCCTGCGCACCACCTCCAGCCCAGGCCCCAGCTCCTGCCCTGTGCACCACCTCCAGCCCAGGCCCCGGCTCCTGCCCTGCGCACCACCTCCAGCCCAGGCCCCGGCTCCTGCCCTGCGCACCACCTCCAGCCCAGGCCCCGGCTCCTGCCCTGTGCACCACCTCCAGCCCAGGCCCCGGCTCCAGCCCTGCGCACCACCTCCAGCCCAGGCC